TGTAAGCAAGACTCCGCCTTTATTGTCATCTTCAATCTTATTGATTTTTAAAAATTGGGTCAGTCGCGCTTTGAAAATTGACCACTCCGATATTTTATGGTCATATAAGGGTATGCTCCCTAAAAACGCCATGATTTAATCCCATCCTCGTCGCCAGTGAGATAAATAATTGCAATAAAACACTTTTCCGGGATGACAGCTCGTTTTATTATTGATCGTTGCTATCGCAACCAGTGTGGACATCACAGGCTCCCTTAGTGTGGCAGTTGTTTGTGACCCGTTACCTAACATTTCCAGAGTTTTGCCTTTGACGGTACAAAGTTAAATGAAGTGAAGTTACATAAAACTATGCTAGACGTCGCAATATTGCAAAGTAGCGTCGTAGAAAGTTAAATGAAATCGAATTTATCGACATTTACTTTACGTTCGATGTAAATATGTTTAAAAAAGGAGAGACTAAACTGATTAGAGTTTTGCATAAATAAAATAGTAAACAAATACGTATTTCTATCATTTTAAGAGCAATTGCACACCTTTGACTAAACTATCGCATAACTGTTCTGCGATTGTCAATTGTTTCGCAGCCAATTCAACTGTTTAGTTGCACAACTGAAAATTGAGTAATGTGCACTTCCATATAGGCTGATAGGAATCAAAGCGCGACTAAACAGTTGTGCGATAGTTTAGTTTCAGGAGTGCGCACGCTCTTAATGTAATTTGTCATAAAAATATATACGTTAAGCTACTTTGAAACTTTTTATGTAGTAAATAAAATGTAAATTGACTAGTTGGGTTACCAGACATTTTTATTCTGAGTAAATAAGAATACGCTATACGGATGTCATAATAATGTTTGCTAACTTTGGTAGTATATGTCGTTCTTAGTATATAAGATAAATTAAATCTGAAACGGAAGGGTTAAGGGTATGATAGGAACTTAAAACTGGATTATCCAAATCAGTCCCTTTAACTTTGTTTAAATGCCCTAAAGAAATCCGATCTCGATAGCCAACGTTACAAGGGTCGAGTCCGTACTTAAGTGTACACTAATTCAAAGTTCAAACGAAATAAAATGAATTAATTCTTTCATTATTGATACTTTAAATAACGAAAAAAGACAATAAAAATAGGCATGTCTATTTTCACAAAGAGAATGACTGAGATATCAATATATTCTTGTACTTTTATTTTTAATATTATAAACCCAACAACATACGACAACACAAGAACGGTCTAGTCCGTCCCTGTGTACGCTGAGCTGGCTTCCTTTTGCCACAATTTTGTACCAGCATGTCTTTAGCATAAGTTCGTACAATATTTTTTGTGGCATTAAATATATTGTATTCAAAGCTATAATGATTATACGTTTCGATTTACCCAATAGTATACTAATTTTGTTGATCCAAGCTAAAAAAAACGTAACATATTGTAATTGAAATTTTATCGTACTGTATCACACAATGCACGCGGCGTACAATTTGTACATTCAAAGTACAGGCTTCCGTGTGCTCTGACATAACATTTACATTGTAGTCAATAGCGATCCATTACGTAAATTAAACTGAAATTAATGTACTCGTATCCTATCCAATATTTTGCAACTAGAAAGAGTTACTTAGCTTTGTTTTTTTATACTATAGAAAGATATCGTTGTCATTTTCTATGTCTAAATTTGTGTATAAACTTTTTTTGTTATTTGTACAATCAGTATTAACCCTGACGAGGTTGAACCCGAACATACAGTACTTAAGGCATGGTGGTCGCACCGGCAATAATCCACGGTACTAATGCGGGACACGGGGAAACAAAACTATGTAATGTTTGTTAAGAAACACTGGTTTATTAGTGGAGATGTATCACTTTATATTCCTTCTTGACTGCTGACCAAACATGCTGCTTTACACAAGATATGTTAGTGTGCGTAACTACATGCTAGCGCGGCAACACGTGCGACCCCAATTTCATTGGCTTTCTGGTAACATTGCTAATTTCTACTAGGCAACTTTGCATATTCTTGCTATTTTTTCCACTGATTACTTGATCTTGATCACGTATTAGCTTCTTGTTGCCACGGTCGTTGACACGAACATTAAATAACAAAAGGAAAACTTTATTAAAGCAGAGTTATCAAGTTACGCGATTTGCATATTGTAGTTACTTTTAATTTGACCAAATAATGAGATTAACGAGAGCGGCCTCATATATCTTTTATCCATCAGGCCTTTAGTAATTCGGAACGATTCATGTAAAAGTACCGACAGTTTGCAACTCGACCCAACACGTCCTAGTTATTAATTAACCAACTCCCTAAAGTTGAGTTTCACTGAAAATAATTAACCGAACTACCCTGTAACTATAAAAGCGGCTAATGGATGCTTTTATGAAACCCGATGTTGTAATTGTCCAATTCATGTCAACAAACCTCTCTAATTAAAATTGTAATTATATCTAATGGTGTTCCACTTTTGGAGATTCAAGATACTGTTATCAATAACTATTTTATTGTGTTTTAACTCTTCTTGGATAGCATCATCTCTTCGTCCGTATATTCCAGTACAGTCGGCACAGAAATTTGTCCTCCAGATTAATCTATCTTCCGTCATATCAGTCATCACTACTTGATCTGACCTTTGTGTACCCCTTCTTGTACTGACCTTTATAAATTGATAGGCTCTAAGACACGGTACTTTGTGCCTTTTTGATTAATGTCATTTTGTCGCCAACGGTTGTTGTTGATGGTAGCAGTGAGAATTCGAACCAATAATAAAGAATTAATTGTAATTTATCAATATAGGCACGTCTACGTGACCTGTCTATTTGTACAGATCACTGAACACAATACTTCAGTATTGTCCTGCGAATAAAATCAATTTGTTTTATAAATCAGTGTTCATTTAATTATTAGATAAGTGTCGCATTAATTTAATCTCTTCACCTTTTATTTTACTAATTAAATTCCTAAGTTTAAAACTTCTGCGTATTAAAACTGAGTGGCTTCGAATATTGACTTTTAGATTCAGCAAAAAAATTAATAAGTCTGAATTTCGTTGAAGGTTTTTGGTAAATTTTTCTACGTGAACACTCAAAATAAGAGATTCAACTTCATCCCGCGTCAAAAGAGATTCGCATTATAACGCTTCGTTGCCTTACTACTTCGACTGTGCTATTTCTTTCATCATTTTAGACATCATTTGAGTAACGAGAATATCTGACAATTTAATAATTTCGTACGATTTCAAGACTAAGTAATATCAGGTATATTATTTTACGTTTTACCAAATAAAATGTTATAAAAATGCTTCATTCTTTTTATAGTCATTTAAACCGTAATTCGACTGACTTTTATAACAAAAATCTATGCTTATATTATAGAGGAAATAATTGTATTTCTGTATGTACTCGATTCAAGTAAAAACTACTGGGCCGATTTGGAAAAATTCTTTCACCATTAAAAAGGTAACATCTACACCATTAATAAGGCAATATCTGTGAGATACATAGGCCGTATTTTTAATTATTTTTTTAGTTTCAAGCAGATGAAGTCGCGATATGTTAACAACACACTTAAATCTCTTGATTTTTTGATTTGATTAGTGTGTGTGTACATGGACATAGGAGGAGGAGGACATGGACATAGTGACATAGGATTAAGAAGATTGGCGTTCTCTTTTCCTTATAAATAAATGATGGAAAGATTAACAGGACAAGAATGTATAGTCAGCTAAAATGCGTAATTACTTCCACTTCTCTGTCGTCTTCTGAGTGGTTATACTAGATCGTCGGTCGAGCGGGCTGCGGACTTTATAATTCTTTCTTATTTCATATAAGTACGATCCGACTCTGCTTATACTGTTTTTATCTACACTAAAAGCGTCTTATCCATGTGTATAACAGTGCGTTTCTATCTTTGCAGAACAGATCTCCTCCGCCGTCGTACATCCCCTCGGCCCTCTTCTACGCGCCGCCGGAGCCGCTTGAGGTAAACTTATTGATATAAGTACACTCTGGATATATCCGACCGATCGTGAATGTCCCTCGTTTGAAATTTATCTAGGTTAGTTATGAGGCAATAATTTAAAAATTGTTGTTTCATTTATAAAGATTGAGAGGAAATTCTCTAACACCTTCTAATCTTAATAATTTAATAATTGTAGTAAAATTATCTTAAGTGGTTATGAAACATTTTATAATGTTGCATATAGGTGTATTCAATGATGCATTTTTTATATTTTATGATTAATATTCCTTATTTTAACATAACCCACAAATCTCTTAAAAAGATAGCAAAGATAAGATACTATAGAAATGAATCATGATGTCACATTTGATTAATATTGGAAGTGGTTGAATTCCTAAACGCAATAGGACAAACTTAGTGAAGAAACGAAAAAAAATGAATCATTATTATGTTAACAAACTCCTTTATTGTATGATTTGTGTTGAAGACGTTTTTAAATACTTAAAGAGAATTTCTACTAATATTATGTGTGTTTTAATGTACTGTTGGTGTGCAGTTACTATGCGTGTTCCCGGAGCGTGGGTCGCGTGTGTGCGCGGCGGCGTGCGCGGCGGCGGCTAGGGCGGGCGGCGAAGCACGCGCGGTGCGTGGGGCGCGGGAAGCGCTCGATGCGTTCAGGCGCGACGCGGACGCGCGTCTGCCTCACGTCGTGGTAGTAGACGCGCGTCAACCGCAGACTCTCGACGCTACTATGTTAGCTAGGTATGTCTTCACACCTATCTTAATTTTATAGATATGTTTTAAAAAAATCAATATTCTTTGGATATGATCTTTCGTCGTTATTTTATACTAGCTGTTGCTCTCGACTTTGTCTGCATCAAAAAATGTAGCCTATGCTACTCACAGATAAATTACCTTTCTAAAGGTAAAAGAATTTTTTAAATCGGCCCAGTGGTTTTTGAGTGATTTCAATTTCATACAAGAATACAAATCTTTCCTCCTTAAATTAGTATAGATATATTTTATTACTATACTAATCTTAGTCAGGTTGAAGGCGTAGTCGCCCCAAGTAAGGATAGGCTTCGAGCCCCTCAGTGGGGACGAAAAAGTCATCTGGCAATGATGATATTTTAAGAAAATGTCAATTATTTTGGATTATTTCGTCTTTATTTTATATAAGACCTACTCTATTCGTTATTTAATAGTTTACAAACAAATTAACTAATGTCAATCAATCAGTTAAACATCAACAACTCTATCGACTTAGATAATTTAATTTCCATTTGAACTTAATATTGGCAAATCAATCGGCGACGCGATGCGGCGAGCGGAGTGGTTTGTGCCGACTTTTATGGAGGTGTTTGACCCACATACATGAATCTTTACTTAGTCCCAGACAAGAATCTGTAACGGACCAAGTAGTTATTAAGAAATAAACTTTACTACATCTATTGGCAAACTTTATATTTACTTTAGTTATCAATTAATTTCGTAAAGTACTAAAACTAAACAAATCCGAAAACAATACCATTCAATAAAGGGCGAATAAGGAGACAGTAGAGTAGAATAATCATACTTCATACTAATATTATAAATTCGAAAGTTTAGATGGATGGATGGATTGTTAGAGTTTGTAGCCTAAACTGCTGAACGGATCTCAATGAAATTTGGCATATATGTATAAGATAGTCTGGAAAAGGACATAGGCTACTTAGTTCTGTTTTTTTTTTATTACCACGCGGTCGGAGTCTCAGGCAAAAGCTAGTATTTAATTAATAAGTATGTTCTGAACAAAGACATTAATAAATATATAGACTAGACATAGTGCACAAATTTATTCACCGGTAATTTCTCTGACAGGTAATATATCAGTCATCAAGTTTAGTGCCACCTCGTGTCGTCGTATTGACATTTTACGAAATTATAATAAGCTCCATCTTTTGTTAAACTAAACAGTGTCACAAAAAAAATGTAAAAATATAAATATTATTTAATAACACCTTGCAATTAATTTAAAACCAATTAATTAATGACACGTTTTTTCGAGGCTGGCAATAGATAGCGTTAGTGATGATTATGTGAAAAATGTCTCAAGTGAAGTGTCAACTATGTCTACTCTATATTACTTGAATCTCTTTGGTTGTGACCGCCCTTGTCACTTATCTTATTATATGAAAACCATAAGCTACATAATATTAAGCCACATTTCTCATGAACCAAAGTTATTTGACATAGGTTTGACAGTTGTCTAAGGATCCTTTGGTCCTTTTGAAGTATTTTTCTCATCGCTTGGGAATTATGTCCTCTGTCTTATCAATTTGTATGTGGTCTTTTTAGTACTTTCCAGACAGTTTTGTTATATAAAAAAGAAAAAAAACTGCAATATCATTTTATGTATCAAAGATATAGGGTTTCTGTTTATGTTTGTTGATTTTTAAATTGAGTTTCGCTTACGTGTTTGTTGATAAATATTTTGATGTTACTCTTTAGCTGAAATCGATATTCTTTTGTTTATTTCCTCAGAAAATACATCCAATTCTCTCATATTTACAAATGCTTGAATAGAAAATGTTTTCTACATTTAAATTCGTATCTTCCTTCAATTGATACTTGAAGCCAATTAGGAAATCTCACAAGCGTGTAATGCGAGATACGAGATCTTTGAAAACTCTCCGAGATATATTTAAAGTAAAGATAAATATGCAGTTTTATGTAAACAACTTTTAATATACGAGAACCTTTAGTAGTAAAGTATAATAAATAATTCATACCTTTATGTAATAGAGTCTTAAATTATAAAGCCACGCTTTAACTACAAATTCCATAATAATATAAGTTAGACGTTTACGTTTCATTCGAATTCGAGATTCATTTGAGTAGTGTAAGACTGGCTTCATCTGTTTTAAAAATGTAGAATAAATAACATTTGTTTACTTGTTACAGAACTATCAGAGGAATAAAGAACACTCAACATATAGTACTTGTAGCTGTTGTGAAGAAAAGGTAAGAAAACTACATAATAATACTAATTGTCTACATGTAAATCTAATTTTTAATACTTATAACTGTTTTATCTTTTTTTTTAATTATTTAAAGATTTACTTCTAAGGTAATAAATAATCTGTGCCTAAAGAGTAAATATACTTATGTACAAATATACATTTGTATAATTTGCAAGAATGACGTCTTTATCTAATTTTTAAAAGAAGTTATTTTAAAACGTTTCAATTCTAAACTCTGTGTTTGAAAAAACAATTCCTAGAACAAAGGTAACATCGTAAATAACAAAGAGGAAAATGTATTTTTCTTTCCATTGTTATAACTGATCTCGTATTACTTGGAATAACCAATTTATTTCATTTTATTTCGTCTGTCGACTTACAAAAGAATTTTCTCAACTAAGGGATTTACTTCGAAGTTCAAAATAAAGGAATTTTCTAATCACCGAGCTTAAAGCTCGCTTATCAAGTTTGTGCACGTTCAATGGCATACAAAGTTTTATATTTCTTTAGACTTTTAAAAGCAGGATTTAAAAACTATCATTAATCTATAAGATCGATATAAACAATAGACTTTAGTTTGAGACCATGAAAACCAAGCAGGCGAGTTGATGACTTCGCTAATATTTTCTTTGCAATAATCATCATCATCATCATCATCATAATCATCACCATCATCATCATCACCATCATCAGGACCGTCATCATCATCATCATCATCATCATCATCATCATCGACATCATCATCTTCCTCCTTATCCTACTCCTGTAGGGTCGGCCCAACAGTTTTTTGTCCTATCTCTATCATACGTCATCTCAGTCATCACTCTCATCTTGATCATGTCACCTTTCACGCAATCTATCCATCTAGGTCTACCTCTACCGGTGTACCTCCACTCTCATGCTAACGTTCTCCTTGATACATGCGATTTATCCGTATATAATGCTCATACCATGCAACGGCGGATCCAGGGGGATGTCATGACCCCCCCTGAGCTGGTTGATCATATTTTGTCAAGCTCTTGACTTGACCACGATTATGTGACCCCCCCCTGGCGCCAAAGCTGGATCCGCCCTTGATACCATGCCTTTTACTTCTTACCTTCTCTACCACTGGGGCTAATCTGAAACTTTCTTTGCAATCATATACTTAATATTTTAAAAGCGAATGTTTGGATGGATAGATGGATATTTTTGTTACTACGTATCTCCAATAGGACTGCACGGATCCAATAAATTTTGGTATAGATGTAGAGCAAAATCTAAAGGCATGTATATCAACCTGTTATCCATCTCGGAGTGAACACAATTTGTACTTATATTCTCTAAATTGAAAAGCTCCATAATTTGTAAAACTCCCCCGAGATGTCGCTGTTCATCACAGGGAGACAATTGCCGTTTGTTAGCGACAGATAAAATTAAATATAACTTAGTTTATATCGCAGCGCCTTGTAACTTAGTTTAGTTGAAGAAAAGGATTTTTAAAACACATCACGAAGATAATATTACATCCTATTTTCTGAAAAAAAAAAAGGCTTTTATAAATTTTCATATATACTCATTAGACATAGAAAAGTCTACAGGATTTACATATACATCTGTTTATCAATTTAAAAAATACACAAAATCATTTGGAAAGTATAATCGCGGAAGTGGGTATACTAGTAACTTCAGGTAAAAACATTAAAGTCAATATCGAATATCCAGTAATACAGTCTTTAAGTCGCTACATATAACATTACGACCATAAATTGAGTCGTAACATTCTTTAGATGCGGTTAAACGAGATCGATAAACGGTTTGAAAGCTTCTATAACATCGATTTAGAGCCGGCTATTTTTATTAATTAGAATTTAAATAACAATCCTTTAAACTTTGCTATCAATAAAATCTCTTAAAACAATTACGAATAATTAATCATAGATATATAAAAGACGTCAAAATAACAAAAGATGTAATTAAAGAGATGACAGGGAATAGAAGCCGTTTGGCGGCAGGTATTGTTTTATTATCTCCAACGATAACTCGCCGAAGTTTGTTGGAATTTTGTTGTGTGCTCGAAGGACCAAGTTTGATATTACCAGTATTTACTCTGATAGTTGATTACTTTCTATTCCTACTTATGTATTTACTTGATTAAAGTATAATAAAATATTTTATATAGCAACCCTGCAATCAATCTTACTTATATTATAAATGAGAAAGTTTAGATGGATGGATGGATAGATGGATGGATGGATGGATGGATGTTTGTTAGCGTTTGTAGCCTAAACGGCTGAACGGATCTCCATGAAATTTGGCACAGGTTGAGAGCATAGTCTGGAAGAACACGTAGCCTACTTTTTATCCCTGGAATAGTTACGGTTCCCGTGGGATTCATTAATTTAGTTTTTTAATGTTTACTCGATCATTCTGCAACGGTTTAACAAATCTTATTGAAATTTGTCACAGATATAAAACAAAGTCTGGAGTACACATGGGATGAGTTTCATTCCCGAGAAATGTCCGGTTCCCGAGAGATACATAGCTTTTTGTAATTATATAGTTTGTATGTTTTCTAATACCACGCGGACGAAGTCGCGGGCAACAGCTCGTGTTTATATAAATAAGACAGTCTGTCTGTACATATATGTACATATAAAGCTCTGTAAATGAAGATGAATAAGGTTGGTGTTCGTTGATTAGTTGGTAACTTGGTGCACAATACTACATGTGATTACCTTGTTAAGAATAAAATTTAGTTGTCCTGTCTGTGTAACTGTTGTAAACACAATTGTTATGTGATCAACACTATTTTAGATTTAATATTATAAATATACCCTAATGTTATCTATTAGTGTGGCAATAAGTTGTGTAATCCAGGGTAAGTGTCAAGTTGGCAACACTGTCATATTTCTTAAAGTACGATAATTTGCTCTTAAATAGAAATACCTCGCGAACACTTTAACTAGGGTAATTACGTAATTTCAGTTTGTGGGAAAAGCGTAGGCTTTATTTCCGAAACTCATTTGCGTTATACCTTTTGTTGTGTATACTACACATAGTCAAGTTGTTAATCGCAAATTACCTTTATAGTTATAAACGAGTCACAGTTAAATAAAATGTAAGTAACCCAAAATGTTTATATTACCATAGTTATGATCAACATATATAATTTTTTACTAATACCATAAATGCGAAAGTTTGTGTGTCCTTTGTTAGAAGGATCTCGTAAACAGAACTGAAATTTAGCTACTTAGCCTTCTTTAATTCCGCGCTTACGGCCGTGGGTAATAGCTAGTCTTCTAATAACTGTACAAAAGGATTCACTTCGTTTATAAAGCGTACCCCTACTATGTATTCCGATTACGAATGTCTATTTTGGTTTATGAAAGTGAGTATATTTACAATAGTAGGGGTTTGAAGTGCAATGAAAATTATACTGACATTATACGATTGAGGAAATATAATAAATTCGAATAACATTATCTGCATGTTTACATTCGATTGAAGTCGAATTACTCAAGTAGACGGAGTGGGCTATTAAGATAGCGACGTTGATAAATTCGTGACGTACAAAACGTTCGGATTACGTTAAGTTTTTTTTAATCAACTTTCATTTTTAATAAAATATATATCAAAGATATTGTAGTCAATTTACGTCATATAAAAAAGAACGCAATAGATAAGTTCAATAACCCTGGATACATGTAACGCTTTTGGTGAATTACGCAATGCACAATACAATAACGAACATTTTGAAAATCCTCTTGAATTAATTGTCTACAATAAAACATAAAAAAATTATATTTGCTCTTTAAAGTCTATCCTAAAGTTATTTCTAATAACTTTGTATAAAACGGTTTACAAAAATTATACAACAGCCCTTTGAATAGGTTATGTGTCTGAATTCTTACTACGATCTTTAGATCTAAATTTAACCCGAATGGATTTAAAAGGTAAATTAAAATACGATTAATAATAAAAAATGTCATACATAAAGCTTAAAGTAAATATTGTTATTTTAAAAGTTGAGTTACTTTTTTGGCATTATTATGAAATGAACGTTGCAAGTTGCATAGTCGCGTAATAAAGAAGTCCGCCGTGGCGCCATGTCGCTTGCTCATCGATTACCACTTATCAATGTAATGCAGATAATCGATAACGCATCGTACATCGTATATATTAAAATTCAAACCACTTACATTTCAAGAGGTTTATATACATATTCTTTTATCCAACAAATTTGAAAACGTTAAAAAAGTAAGAAACTATGTCCACACTAGATGCCTATTTATTTAGCCTATTTTGTCTGAAATTAAAAAATGTATTATATTAAGAGAAGAGAGTATTATATTAAGAGAACTAGATGTTTACATTCAGATTGAACTATATTATCTTTAGGTCTAAAAATATATCTTTAACAGTAGGACAATCATAGTTTGATAGAAATTCTATCTCTTTGAGCTCTCCTACTCTGAAGCCGTTTAAATTTCTCTTTATTATCTTCTTTTGATAGAAAATTAATATCTTTTAATCGAAATATATTGATTTGTATCGTAGAATACGCGTTCTTTTGTTATCTCGAACAAAGGTTCGCAATCCAGTGCTCGAGGGTCGAGTTAAGGCTGGTCGTAATTAAAACAACCTATCCAAGTGGGATCGAATCAATTGTGATTTGATCTGCTGAATATAAACCTCTATGATTCTATCAAGTAGAACAAAATCAATTGAACATCGGCACAATACTATTTGAATTGCCTTACTTTTGTCGTACAATAAAAGTAAAAGGACCTATTTTAATATCAAGAATAAGTCGAGAATACTATTCAAATAAAATGGACAAGACATTTAAATGTACAGATGTTTTATTTCAAGACCAAACATTACGAAATGTCTCACGATAACATTATAACTAAAATTAAATAGAATCCATATTAAGATATTGTACAAGACAAAACTGAATAAATCTAAAGATCCCTAATGTTAACAAAATCAACACAAAATATAATATTAAAAATATGAAGCTCTTATATACTAAGAACTTGTTATCAGAAAACTAGACATGCTTTTGCACGTTGCTCTGAAATTCCGAAGTGAATCATGGTCTATAAACATCGTAACAGCAGGAAATGCACGCTCGCCGGAAGGTAAATGTTCTGGAACATTCTACACGGCAAGGTACGGGGCGGGTAAGAAAGATATCATGCAAAACTTCTTGCTGCAAACTTTACAATATAACGTAACATAGATAAAATGTACTGTGTAGCTTTAAACAATTCTTAAACCTTATTTCTATCTCTTATTAAAATACCACTATCGGTAAGCTCGGTCTACGTTACGTGTTTAGGACGCAAGAATGGTCAAAGCAACTTTCTATGGCGCCTCCTGTGAGACTGTATAATTCTAAGAACTATGGCCCTTCTTTCTGTCTAGCCCTTGGCGATAACCTGCAGACTATCAGCCTAGTTCCAATTTGACTCCACTAGAACATAGGTGGGCTTATTCCAGTAAATTTCTCCACGGCCTCTACAGAATAAAATATTATAAATCTTAGTTTCACAAGAAATTCGCACCGATTTCTGCCGTCCCACAATCCATTTAATGAAGCAATCCCTTTTACGGCCCATAAAGAGCCCACAAAGTGATCCCTTGCCATTGGACACTAAAAAGCTTTAGAGCTTTACAGTTGTGTTAACGTATCAAGGTTGGAAAACATTCTTTGGTGGTATAATTTCCGATCCGTTGTAATTTGCATCCTGATCTCAGTATTAAAATAAATTAAGGGAGACCCTTATATTCTTTAACTTATTTGAACCATGATTCACTTTATTATGTTTTGTAAGTTAGCTGTATTCTTACTTCTTACTATCTTACTTCTTACTATCTTACTTCTTATTTCTTACTTCTTACTTCTTACTTCTTACTAATACTATAAATGCGAAAGTTTAGATGGATGGATGGATGGATGGATGGATGGATGGATGGATGGATGAATAGATGGATGTTTGTTAAAGTTTGTAACCTAAACGGCTGAACGGATTTCGATGAAATTTGGCATAGATGTAGAGGATACTCTGGAAGAACACATAGGCTACTCACATTTGTTTTTTTTTTTATTTCCGCGCGGACAGAGTCGCGAGCGAAAGCTAGTTTATCCATAATTAAATAAAATTTAAATTAAAACTGTAAATTCGGGCCGTCGACTTTTAGATCTGTACCGAAAACTTAGAGTTCATTACAATGTTGGTCTCTAATAGAAATTGTTGTGATGTTTGTTTTGTACAATTAAGCTTAAAAAATGCATTTTAGTATCAGAATTTAGTATCAAAATTTTAAAGCCAAAAAAAAGTTCTCTGTGAGCTGAACGTTGGACATTGAATGACAGGAAAACAAAGGTTGTAAAAAACACAAAAAATTTTTTGACTCTTTTGACAATGTTTTTAACCAATGCCAGTTTTCATATTTTCAGAATAGTGTAGTAACTAATAGTATGAATTTCATTTACGCATGTTTTTATTAATTTTTACTTAAAAACATTGAATTTTTATCGTGTTTTAACTGTAGTCGTCGTAATATTAACTTCAGGAGATCTGAAATAAGAAAATATTAAACCTTCATAAAAGTTAATTTTCCTTATTTTGTTCTAGTGTTTACCTCAAAGACGACTTCGCAGTTCTGCAATACCTGGAAGCAGGCTTCAACCGGGTAAGTTTTCCTATAAATTACTGGGAGTTTTCTTCCAGGTTATTTTTAAGATACACTTTCTTTTGATTTATATAACATAAAAATACATTATAGCATTATTTTGTCTATAAACAGTGGTGCAACATATTTTACAGTAACACTTCACGGCCTTAAAACTAGAATTGTATTCTACAATCATTCATTCATACTTCTTACTAATATTATAATGCAAAAGTTTAGATGGATGGATGGATGTTTGTTAGAGTTTGTAGCCTTAACGGCTGAACGAATTTCGATTAAATTTGGCTTAGATATAGAGGATAGTCTGGAAGAACACATAGGCTACTTGTATTTGTTTTTTGTTTTTTTTTAATTCTGCGCGGTCGGAGTCATGGGCGAAAGATGAATGAGTGGAACGTAGCTTAACGGATCTTGATGATATTTGGCACAGCTGGAGAACATAGTCTAAAAATACACATAGGTACATAGACAATTGCAAATAATTTCAATTAAACATAAAGTTGAGTTTCTAAAAGTGAATGAGAGATGGAAAGCCACATTTATCTAAATGCCTGTCAAAACATATCTTTTGTACCACAATTTAAAAATAAAACTATTAAACATATATAAGACCTCATTCTCATTTCCTCACTGAAAGTGCAGATTATTCTCAGAACGTAGCGTTAAGTCTTTGATAAGTTTTGCGGCGCGGAATTCGCAATATCGTGATAATAGAATACCTGAGAAGCTTAGATGATACTCATCGTAGCAAACAATCAAACAAATGATAGATGTATTGAATTTTATGAGTTCTGTCGCTTTATTTTTATTTTATATCCCTGTAGTCATCAATCCTAACGTTACTATGAGATATAGTCCTCATATAGAAGACTCAAACGAAAATACACTATGTATCACTTTAACTTATTAAAACTTTCGTGAGACATTATACTATATAAATTATAACACGGCTAAACTCACGTGATAACATTCGGTGTAGGCACCGACAGTTTCGAACCCGTTGGGGGTCCTTCTTCAGGGTGAGTGATTAATCGGGTATACTCGCTAGCGCGTCGCGACGGTCACTGCGTGCCCTCGCCCGCATCGCGCGTTTCGACAGGGCGGGGGGCGCGGGGGGTGCGGGGGGTACACTATTCACTATGTGCGTCGGCGCAGACGAGCTCGAAACTGACGTGGTGGTGTTATTATTATTAACGGGGGCACAAAATACACTTACAATGTCCACTAAGTTGTCTTCGACATTGTCGATCTTATTCCGCTTCGCATTCAGCAGCACGGGTTCCCACGCGGGTGGCAGAGCCCAACATTTTCCCAAAATTCCCAAAATTTTCCGACCCCTGACACAAATACAGAAAATACTGCGGTCCCCTAAAGACCGGGACCCTCTGGACAGCCCTGGGGTCTACGAAATTCCATGCGATTGCGGTAGGAACTACATCGGAGAAACGGGGCGCAACATAAAAACTAGACTCACGGAACACATCCGGAGCATTCGCAAGCTCGACAGCAACGCCTCGGCGGTGGCGGAACATGCCCTTGCCTCCGATATGTCACATTATATTAGGTTCGACAAAGTGAAAGTGCTAGCCCGCGAGAAGCATTTTGTATCCCGCAAGCTTCGTGAGGCAATAGAAATCAGCCGTCGGCCTAATTATAATAGAGACAAGGGTTGGGCTCTGCCACCCGCGTGGGAACCCGTGCTGCTGAATGCGAAGCGGAATAAGATCGACAATGTCGAAGACAACTTAGTGGACATTGTAAGTGTATTTTGTGCCCCCGTTAATAATAATAACACCACCACGTCAGTTTCGAGCTCGTCTGCGCCGACGCACATAGTGAATAGTGTACCCCCCGCACCCCCCGCGCCCCCCGCCCTGTCGAAACGCGCGATGCGGGCGAGGGCACGCAGTGACCGTCGCGACGCGCTAGCGAGTATACCCGATTAATCACTCACCCTGAAGAAGGACCCCCAACGGGTTCGAAACTGTCGGTGCCTACACCGAATGTTATCACGTGAGTTTAGCCGTGTTATAATTTATATGTATCACTTTGATAATTGATTTTCGCCTTTTTACAAATAAAAAATAAAAACATTATCATATTCAAATGAAGCAGGGGATAAAATAATCAAATTTTAAAATAGATTAGTATTTGAAAAGCAATAACAAAGATCACGCAACAGTCCCCAGCTGCAAATACTCGTCTTCAATACACGTGCGAATGCAACTGATAGTTCCCGATCATATTGGATCATAACGCAGCTTGCAATGTCTATTTTTAGCATCTTTAATGCGATCTGTGCAACACCTGCGTTCTTTATTGTACAGTTCAGGGAATATAACTCTTTTATATATAGACTGCATTGAAAACACTACCGATCTACGGTTGTGGAAAAAAAATATAGAGACGAAGATAAGTCTCCCTAGAAATGTACACTAAAGAACGCGTACAACCACTCAAACATTTTACTAGAAAGTGTAAACGCATAGTTTCACGTGCCAGTAGCTAGCATGTCAGCTGCAACTTATATTAATGGCATCTTTATTTTCTGTTTTTAAAAGCATTATGGTATTACTATAGTAACTGTTGTTAGGTGATGGTGGAGACAGTAGGTAGTACGGCATGGTGCGGCGAGATTCTACAAGCACGTGCCGCGGCAGCAACATCGCGTGCGCAGGTCGCCGCGGTCGCCGCCCTCGCTGCTGCTGCAGACCGCTGCCGGGACCTAGTTGCTGTTACTGACGACCAGCAGAGGATTCTTGTAAGTGTTACGATAGTATCTTGATTAAAGATGAACACATGAGTTAGAAGGGACGTGAAGACGTAGAGTAGTGAATAATGTAAACGACTTAAAATGCCCTGATCAGGTGGAAACAAGAAAGGGGGATAATGATGTGTTCATTAATCAGTACGGCTCCGCTTTTGTCAATTAGTTTTAACTGAAGATTGTTTTAACAGTTGACAAACAAGTCATGGGGCCGTATGCTGGGGTGGCGCGGCGACGAAGCTCCGCGCCCTCTGGCGGAGACGGTGGGCGGAGAGGCGCTGCGGCTTGCGGCAAGCGGCGCGCGCGACTGGGAGGCGCCCGTCATGCTGCGCCGCCGCGCTGCGCCAGACCCCATCCTGCTGCCCTGCCGCGGCGCATCCGTCGCACTGGCTAGGTAATTGCTCGAAAATCCTCAGCTCCAAGAAACTCACCGCCAAGAAATCGAGAAGCCGCGTCTGTTTTGGCTAATCTTTAAAACAGCTGCACCGATTTTTGACGGGAAGGTAGCTGATATACGCAAGCATTGTTTTTTTTAATTCCGCGGTGACCAGGTCACGGGTGACCGCTAGTTTTTAACAAATCATTAACCAATCAATCAGTAACAAACATTAACCAACTATCGAGCCTGCAAAAATGTGTCGTTTAACAGTAGTGTTTTAGTGTAATGTTTAAAATGTATTGTCCCATTTCCTAGGAGCACATCTCACGTGGTGTTCGTGTGCGAGCCTGGCGGCGGGGAGGGCGAGCGCGCGCGCGGCTCCCTGCACTCCATCAGGCGGGGCTCGCTGGACGTGCGCTCCGTCGCCTCCGACGGGCTGCGGAGAACATCTCTAGCCAAGCTGCAGGGACTTCCACTAGAAGCTCCCATCACTAAGGTAATATGGTAATGAGGTCAATTGACGATGAATGCCAAAAGTGTTTTCCAGCCTGTAAAATTCTTAAAAAAGTTTTTAAAAAACATATCACGGTTAACGCTTGAATCAACGAAGTATTTTGTGAAAAAAATGTTATATTTTACCAACACACTAAAATCAAAATCTGACTTTTTTCGCTAAACTAGTTCAGTCGTTTTTATAAATTAGTTGTCTGTCACACTGGACACCATCTAATTAAAGGTTAAATTGTTACGAGAAACACCACTTGAGGGCAGAAATTAAATATTTTTTTTTCCAGGTGATATCATTACTATCGGCGGCGACAGAGGGCGCTCCGCCCTCCACTGTCGCCTGCATTGAACGCGCCGTCGACATGCTGCGGACCTCGGAGCTGTACTCGCCGCAGATGAAGGAGGACCCCAAGCTGAGGGCAGAGGACCCAATCGCGACCGACCTCATTGGAGCACTGCTCTCGGTGAGTGCACATTGTCTGTATATTATAAAGAGGATTTTAGTATGCATTGAAATAACTCAAAAACTACTGGACCGATGTCAAAAATTCTTTTACCATTAAAAAGCTACATTATCATTGAATAAGCTGTGTCTTAATTTTAAGCAAACAATGTCACAAGAGCAACAGCTAGTAACTTATATGTTTGTTATTTCAGTAACCAAAGAACAGTCCTAATATTTCATTACCACAAGTAATTAGTGTCCCAACTCTCCCAGTGAGTTGACGTTAAAATTGTAGTGGTTTTCAGTGTTTGAAAAAAAGTGAAGTGGTTAACTTCCGACTGCTATTAGGTTACATTAAAACAAGCTTTAAAAATTCAATTAATTTGGTGTAGACTAAGCAATTTTTAACCTAAAATATTTTCTACGTTACGTCTATGCTTCGTATTTTTAAATAACGGGTCCAGTATAAAAATACTGGTATATTTTTACGGGATCTGTGAAATCCAATTTTAAAATCGTTCACATGATATGAAATAGAAGACGAATTTTTCAGCCGTGTTTTTTGAATTCCCAACGAAATTTAGCAGATATTTCTTTACTTTAACATATAAAATTAAACAAAACATATTGTTTATTACAAAGCGCAATCCTATTTCTAAATATAACTGAGTTTTTTCAAATAAGTAAATTTATAAAACCGATAAATTAACTACAAACACAAAAATCTATACTTTTTTATATTCCGTAATAATTTGTTTTATATTCACATTATTTTTATATGTGTATGTATTATATATGTCTACTAATTGTTAATTATTTGTTTACGATCCTGTATTACTGCGGACAGCGGGAGCAAGTGAACACAAATTTGTTCTTTATGGTAGGATATGTTTACCGCAACCAACTGCATTGACCTTCTCGTCTTGCCTGAAACATCTCAATAGACTAGTGGCTATCACAATCCTATTCCGTTTAAGCAGAGTGCATTTCGTTTATACTACTCATATTGAATATTAGGGATTATTTCTAACAGCCACCCCGCTCAAGTTTCATCCGTCACACCTTTTGCGACGAGGGGACTTATTTTATTTCCCTGGACTGGACTTAAAACTTATTTTATTTCTTTACGGTTCTATATGTCACCTTATTGGTGATAGTGGGACTAAAAGGTGGGACGGATGAAACTTTGTAATTATTTTTCACGTAGACACCTGTCAAAGCCATGAATTTGGTATTGATTTTTTTGGTGTCACTCTTGAAAATTCACCTTAAAAAATCGCAAAATTAATTAATTATACATCTACAATATTTACATATTATGTTCTCTGCTTAGACAAATCCTCGTCTACCTACCTATAGTAAACTTCTACGTTCTTTTCTGTTATGTTCTATATCTTCTTTACTATTGTATAATTTAATATTAATTTCTATCTTCGGCTCAAAAATTTATATTTACTATGACACTTCAGCATGGTACATGATATACTGATAACACGAATGTATTTTTAGACTTAGTTTTAGTTGAAGGTAGTTTTGAAAAAAGTACACGAATGTTTTCACTACTTAATGAAGTGTGTATCTTTGTGCAGCAAGGGCCGACTAACGTCCTGTCTTCGCGGCGAAGCAGCAATGACTCCACAGTTGTCAGGTCTCAGACGAACAGAACTAACATCAAACACAAAGTAAGTTAACAATTCTTTTACCATACTATCGTCGCTCACAATTGTAATGTCATTAATTACTCTACTTATTCCTATTAGACTTCGGGTCAGCTACGCGAGCTGCTAGATACAGCTTTAAGCTGGGAGTTCGAGATCTTCCGTCTAGAGGACCTGACTCGCGGGAGGCCGCTGGCGCACCTCGGGCTGGCGCTGCTGGGCGGACGCTTCGACGTGTGTGCCGCGCTGGAGTGCGACGAGCGCACGTTGCTGCACTGGCTTACCGTCATCGAGACAAACTACCACGCGGTTAATACCTACCACAACTCTACGCACGCCGCCGATGTGCTTCAGGTAAAATCGTAATTACTTTCTTACCATTGTCACTGATTATCATTTCTTCTTAACGTAGATTTCCCAAACTGAATCTGCACTCCGCGAAATAGCTTAATGTATTGCTATACTCAGTCATTAAGTTGTTTGTAAAATACATTGGGATTTGCTCTTTTGATTAAATGTCTCCCAGAATGTATCTCATTTCTATTTGTCTGGAACTTAACCCCGTAATAGCAAAAGGCAAAATTCTTCAAATATTGTTTCGTAACTAGAATAATTTCACCTTAATTCATCTAAAGCATTTGTTCCTGTAATGTTAGTTTCAAGAATTACGTGGAAAGAGAGTACTTAAGATCCTTAAGTTAAACAAGATGATCCACTCGACTGAATAAACCTGTAGAGGTCCCAAGTAGGCTTATTTAGTATTACGACTCGCAAACGTTTGTAGTGTGGGAACCACATCTCATATGTAGCTCACAGAAGATTAAATTGTATTCACGTGTTTTACGTTGTTGTTCCTGACAACTTCGTTATTACAAATCAAACTTATAGTATTTAGAAAAGCTGGTTGTGAATCGGGTTTTTTGTAAAATTCATGATGCCACAACCTACACCTTATTTTCTTACAAGAAACACTACACTTTTTAAACAGGCCGTAGCATACTTCCTGGAGAAGGACCGACTGAAGACACTGCTGGAGCCGCTGGAGGCGGCGGCGGCGCTGATTGCCGCAGCGGCGCACGACATCGACCACCCCGGCACCTCCTCGGCTTTCCTCTGCAACGCGCGACATCCCCTCGCTATACTCTACAATGACATTTGCGTGCTCGAATCCCACCACGCCGCGCTCACATTCAAACTCACACTCAGTAAGTTTATATGTATACAGTTAGCAACTTTCATCTATCTATGGTTCTCCAAAAAGTTTTGTGCACCGTGAAAAGTCGGACAAAACAGTTGCACGATGAAAAGTGGAAGAAGGTTACATTTTCTTAGATCGCGTTCTCTTAAAATTAGACGTATTAGACGTTGTCCGTTTTAAGCAGGAAAATAATAGACAAGAAAAAGAAGATGACTAGGGAGTTATTAGAACGGAACCACAGACACTAAAATTTATTTTTTCCTGTAGACGATGACCGTGTGAACATCTTCAAGAATCTCGACCGCGACACTTACAAGACGGTCCGTCACAACGTCGTCGACATGGTGCTGGCCACCGAGATGACGAAGCACTTCGAGCACCTCGCCAAGTTCGTCAACGTCTTCTACGCCAAGTCCAGCGGCAGCAAGGAGGACGGCATGCACACCGACGTTAGTATACTAAAGTTAAATTATTACAACTTTTTATCTTTGTTTATTGTTATGCAACCTCTTTCTTCAGATAAAGAGGTAGATTCCAATTGCAATGTACTTAGTCATATCTATGTAATACACTTGCCTATTTTAATTAACGTTGTATTTTTTATTAGGAACCTCTGTCTCTGGACACGACAGCTCTGTCTCTTCCTGAAAACGTGATCCTGGTTAAGCGAATGATGATAAAGTGCGCTGACGTGTCCAATGCATCACGACCCCAGAAGTTCGCATTTGAATGGGCAAGAAGGTAAAAAACCATATTATGGTTATTAGTTAATCTCATCTTACTTTTGCTTTTCTCCTCTGACCTGTATCTGTATGTGTCAGGATCGCGGAGGAGTACTTCCTGCAGACGGAGGAGGAGAAGGCGCGCGCGCTGCCGGTGGTAATGCCGATGTTCGACCGCGCCTCCTGCTCCGTGCCGCGTTCGCAGATCGGCTTCATCGACTACATCATTATTGACATGATGGAGGCTTGGGCTGGTAAGTACTGTTGTACGAGTAGTTTGCCGATCTTTGAGCTTTTATTATCCCACTAGTTTCTACCTGTGACTTCGCGTATAGTAAAAAAAAACAAAAGCAAGTAACCTATGTGCTCTTCCAGGCTGTCCTCTATATCAATGCCAAATTTTATCAAGATCCGTTCAACTGTTTAGGCTACAAAAACATCCATCCATCTAAATTTGCGCTTTTATTATTAGTAAAATTAGACTTGTCTTACACAGTTAGGTGGCCAAGATAAACAAAATATGGGGATCTAGAAGTAGAAAGTAGTTAGTATCAGCTTTATTTTAAAAGGAATGACATTCACACATTTTTATAGCATTCATTGACATGCCGGAGTTGGTGAACCACGCGCGCAATAACCACACGCGCTGGCGGGAGCTGGACGAGGCCGGAATCAGCTCGCTGGCGGATGTGAAGCGAGCCATGCGCCAGCAGGCCATACAAGCCCCGCCTACCTCCACCTCAGAGCCCACCGCAGAGGAGTGAGCGAGCAATGGATGCGGCAAAGCGAAACACTCGCAAGTGAGCGATGAATCAATGTAGTACAGTGTACAGTCGCATGGTACGAGAGGGACGGTCACGCTCGAAATCATACACAAAGTACAGTCGCGTACGAAAAGTTTATAATAAAATTGTAAAATCGCTATTTATTTCGGGAGTAACATGCGACTAAAAACTGTTTTCCGAGAGCAGCATATTCGTGCACAATAGAATTGATGTGCGGTATCCAGCGGGCAAAAGTTAGTAAGTCGAAAAAACGTAGCATTCTCTTTCAAGTCTTTATTATTGGATGTATATTTGATAAGTTAATGGATACCTTTGGAATAATGTTGAACTGCTTTATGTGTAATATTACTTTGGAATTATCTAATATATGTACGTAAGACAAACGTAAACTGCATTGTGCCACGAATAGTTTTGATGTAAGTTAGCACTTTGATAATTGATTTTCGATGTGACACTGTTCTAAATGTTTTTTATCTCATATTTAAAACTATTTCTACAACCGAAACACCTGTACAAAAATATGTTGTCTCTCTTTGAGAACAGGGATAATGATGTTCTTGTAAATGTGTTTCGGAAGTGGAAACGAAGCTCTAGAGAGCAGGATTGAGATGTATGATGGACAAAGAGCACGGTACGCATTTGGTGTCAACGTAAAAAGTCTGAATTGGATCATAGGCACGCTCGTTGCCTGACGGATGTGTCCGAAAATACGCTTATTTTATACTACTTATAACCATAGTATAAGTAACAGTAAATTCTATCAATGTTATCTACATATTCATATAGTATTAGGATAATAAATATTCTATATATGTATTTTTCATAATTCTGTCATATTGTAAGTAGGTTCATTGATTAATTTTGCGTAGTATGGATTGAAGGCTACTATGCCTTGGAGACGGGTAATTATTTTGTGTAGTTAAAGTATATTTGTTTTGGTTCGTGTCCGTGATTAGAGTGCCATAGATGTAACGTCAGCCAGCAAAGCGGCAGAGATTGTCTCTGGTCGCACGCCATGACATAACTATTTATTAACTGTCTTATCAATCGCAGTAATAGACATAGTCCTTCTTTTTCCTAACTGAATTGGTCCACTTTACACTTGAGCTTTCAGAGAATTCCTATTTTTTATAATAACTTTTATAATACCTATTTACCGACTATTTCGGCAACTTCATATCAAAATTTCCAGTTTTTGAACGATTTAAAAAATTTTCTCCGACGTAGTATTTGTTACTTAGTTTTATTTTAACGTTCCTTTCTGAAGAATTTTAAAATTTGATACCCAAAAGTTATATGTTTATATATCTGGTAATCTAGGCTACCTATTTACTAATCGCTTCAACACTACGTATTTAATAATTTATTGTATTAATAAGGTAAATGATACGTCTATAAATCCCGCTACATACGCTCAGTTTTAACTGTTCACTTCAACTGACAGTTAGGACTGAACAGTTGGATCGAAAAGTTAAAACTGTCAATTAAAGTTGAGCGGATGTAGACTTTAGATTTATTAAGGTTGACATTTATTCGTCTTTATGACGCTGGTACATATAAGTAATCTGTAATGATGTAGAACGTAAAAATTTATTGAATTTTTTAATACGCTTTCTTGTGCTCAATGTCTAAAAACGGTCTAAAATTGAAAAAAAAAATGATTCTTCAATGTATACTTTATTATACCTATACATCTATCAATATATTTATGATAAATTTATTATTAAGTATGTTATTGTAGATCGGTGTGTTCAATCTCATATTTTTAAAACGTATAACCAAAACGCACTTACTATTTGTGTAGCTGACTGTACATGTATTTAATGATACTGCTGAATAGCTCAATTTACGTATGTTTAAAAATAGATTTGAAATTATTATATAGCACAAAGAACATATAACTACTTCGAAATGGAAATTCTAAGCTATTTATGTTTTTATTTATATATTAAATATGTTAAGATGGTAGTGTGTGACGGGGGCTGGTCCCCATATTTATTTGTGGAATAAATATATTGTTATGGATTACGCATTAATATTGCGTTTTATGAGTACCAACTAATAAATGTTTTATTGAAACTAAATATTTTTAAAACTTTGTATAAAAATATTCGTCTACAAGTATCGGTTTAAGTCTCAAATAAAATTAACACTGACACTTAATTGGTTTATAAAAAAAACAAAAGCTGAGCAAACGTAAAAATTATACTTTTATTTTAAAGTTGTATAAATTTTCTATACTTTTTAATGACCTAAAAACAGGTAAAAACAGATTTTTAATTTCAAAACTGCTATAACATTTTGATAAGTTTTTTTTTTCATCTATTTGATAAATTACAAGAGACTTAAAGCGATAGATATATTTTAATCTGTAGTTTTCCATTGAAATATTTTATTAATGTGTAAGAGTTGTTTATTGCTTCAACTGTGTAATAATGTGCGTAACCTAAACAAAAAAAATCAATCAAACCACGTATAATCATATATCTACATTAATAGGTAATGTATTGAATCCTTCGTAAAGAAATTATTTGCAATTAAATCAATAAACAACTGGAAAGCATTTTTAATGAATGTCTGTATTCGAAATAATAAAATTGACATTGTTAAGTGTTGTAAATAAAGAAATACTTAAAACATGTCTTAGTTTTATTTAAAAAACAACTTTAACTCAACTTACATAGGTTATTAATTAGTTTAGATAAAGTTTGCCACTTATGAAGAAAATAACCTAAAAAGTCCTAAAAACCAAAAAACTTTTAAAAGCAGCAATAAATGGATTCATAAAATACCAACATAAAATAACTATATTTACATATATACGAGCGAAATATGTCACGTATTCGCGAGAATAGTTTCGGCAAACACGCTTTACCCCAACATAACAGAAATATTTGCTAACCTCAAATATTTTCATCAAATCTCATTTCGATAAAGAGCTTTTAGTAAATTATTTCGAGAACAAATAAATAATCTCTTACTCTGAAATGCTTAACATTAATAACTGTTAAGAATTCAGATTTGAGATGTCAATGTTTTTTTTTTATAATCTAAAAAATGACAATACTGAGATTTATGCGTGCTTCACATTACGCAAACTGGGCGATAGCGTTTAAAACTGGCCTGGCATACAACTGGCATAATATTTACGCTATCTACCGTCTGCGAACCAAAACAATCCATGTCAGTCCATCACTGTTGTCCTACAGTACTGGCATAATGTAAAACCAGGCATTACCTTTGTCTTCATAAACGTCTACGTCTGCCTCTATCTATGTCTACGCCTTGTATACGTCTACGCGTATATCCAGTATATCTACGATTACGTCGTAACGTCACGTTGCCACAATGTTAAATGCCACAGTTTACATTCTCAAAGTCTGGCAACAAATCTGTAGTTCCTCTCATATGGCGTTGATCACCTCGGTGTTCTTCCCGCTCGTTTGGCCCATTCCCTTCAAAGAAAAGTCCGGTTTATTACTTACTAAATTAACTATTCCGTGTTTGAATTGTCAATTCAATTACCTTATACTCGTATAGTTTTCTAATTTAATAAAATATAAGCTTTCGCCCGCGACTCTATTCGTGTAAAATTAAATAATCATTGAATACATAACCTAAGTTGCTCAGTGAAAACGTAGCATTTTAATGGTGAAAGAACTTTTTGAGTAGTTTTTGAGTTATCATCATTCATAGAAAAATACAAATCTTTCCTCTTTATATTAGTATAGATAATATAAATATAGAATTAAATGCAATTCAGTAAAATGTTTATAGGTTAGGTTAAACATGTCCTCACTCGATCAGTGTCCGCCGGCACTTAGTGGCTCGCTGTCGGACCATATTGACACACTAACTCACTAGATTGCATTGGAAATTGAATTGTACGAACATCGTAATGTATTAACTTTAGAATGGCGCTTTCGATTGTCACTTTAAAAATTTATGTCTAATTTGTAACAGTTAAATTGCTACTTAAACATTACAAGTTTTAAAAGTTCATATTAAATTCAGAATATTTTTAACTAAACAAATAAACCTTTAACAGACTTGGTAACAAATTAAAAAATAAAACAAAGAAAAATTTAACACGAACATAAACTATACTATAAATATATCGAAAGACTTCGTCGGAAGTTCTATAACATTGAATGATCTCTACAATTATTATATCCGTTTCCAGTATTGAATAGATTCCGAGAGATCCTTCGAGATTAGAAATAGATCTATCTGTTCATGCGGAAGTATCTAGCGAATAACGAGATCATATTCAACTTAGAAATGTAGAAAATATATTGAACAAAATTGAGTCAATATAGAACGATTATCACAAACCATTTTTACTAAAAGTATATGTCTGTATTTCCCATGTTTGTTATATTAATTTACCTAAATATTATAGATGCAAAATTTTATATGGAAGGATGTTTGTTAGAGTTTGTAGCCTAAACGGCTGAATGGTTTTCGATTAAATGTAGTATAGACTTAGATGATTGTCTGGAAGAACGTATAGAAACTCATTTTTGTTTTTTTGTTAATTCCACGCGGGTGGAGTCGCGGGCGAAAACTAGTATGATAATATTTATTAAATGTATCCTCAATAAGTAGACGTTAAGAATAAAAATATTGTATTTTTCACCGTAACGACATTAGACGATGGAATAAGGCAACTTTATTGTAGCAGTATTGCCCAGGGGACGAGGGTACGCGGCAAGATATTGTTATTTATTTTCTAACGCTAACGGGAATTAAATGTAATATACATTATAAATATAAATGAGGTTAACTCACAAGACTTAGGAAAAGGAACACTAGTTTTTTTAATTTTAGTTAAATTTTAATTTTACTCATAAGTAAGCATGCTTGAGATTTTGTATGAATTACTTTTTTACATACTAATTATTAATTGAGATAACATTTTGATGAATGTTTTTTTCGATATCAAATATACTTGAAATGGCCACATTAAATGTTGGAATATTTAAAAACTTCCCAAATGACTGGTATTTTCTGGACTAAAAGTTTGTTTCCCCAGCTTTGTTTACAATTTACAAAGCAAACTCTCCCTAAAGTAATCTTAAACCTTTTATAAGCGAACGAAATTTTGAATGATGGGTAAAAGTTCGAATGAATAATGAATGTTAGGTTATGGGAAAATTTTAACAAGTATTTAATTAAATAAACCAATAAATTGTTACTTAACTTTTTTAAAACAGAAAAATGCTTTGGTTAAATACTACTACAGTTTTATTATTTCTCTTTAATTTAAGTAATTGAGAACGACGCATGTTTGTTATTCCTAACCTAAATTCATATTCCATAACTAACTAGTTACATCCCATGATGTGGATCGAACTAACAATATTAATCTATTGAGTATCCAAAGAAAATCCTAGACCCAAAACTCCCTTTCAGACACAATTATATGTTTTTTGGAGCTTACCTTTTATTTTACTAGCTTTCACCGGCGACTCCGTATGCGTGGAATAAAAATACAAAAGTAAATAGTCTATGTGTTCTTCCAGACTATGCTCTACTCTAAGCCAAATTTCATCTAGAACCGTTTAGGCGGAAAACCATCCATCTAAACTTTCGCATTTATATTAGAAAAAACATACAAACTGCATCATAGTAACCGTAACCCTTATTCTCTTCCTTTAGTGTGATACTGGATTGATGTAGACATAAAAGGTTTTTGCATTCATCTATTAACATATATGATAATGTTTGTAAATAAGGCGCTTACGAAGCTTTGCATATTTTAAAAATGCAAACCACGGTATTGACTACGGACATTTTATATTCAAACTAGCTGTTCCCGTGCGACTTCATCCGCATGAAATTATGAAAATGTTGTTATATTGTTCATTATATATTTGTCAAATTATCAATTACAAATGTCAAAATGATACGATGACAACCTTACGTCCTTAATGTTGGCAGCAACTTATGATTTCTTTCCCACATTAGGGTTTTTATCCAAAATATTTACACCCTAAGTTTAATGGCGTTAAGCCTAAAGCGTGACGTAAGTGTAGGGGGGCTTTTTATTATAAAAAGAATTCTTCAAAAATATGCTGTAATTGCTGACATCTTAGGCAACAAAGAAGTGTGTGTTTACGCTTTTTTATAATAGTATAGATATAGGTAGGGTAGTTTGAGCTGTTATACTTGTAGTCATTAGGCCGCTATAGTTGGGGATACATAGACGAGGCGTGCGCAGATTTTTGACTAAACTATCGCACAACTGTTTAGTCGTGCATCTATTCCTTTGAACTTGTATGGAGGTGCGCACACTACTTGATATTTAGTTGTGCAACTAAACATATGAATTGGCTGCTAAACTATCGCACAACTGTGTGCAATGGTTTAGTCAAAGGTGTACGCCCGCTCTAGCGATGGTAACCATGAATATAAATTGTCATGACACATACTAACATTGTTATCTTCGTTCTTTAAAGAATAATGACAACGATGGCAACATTTGTATTTAACGTTATGCAGAGCCCATTTTAGCGTTGCCAATACGCGTACTTTTTGTCCCAAAAATAGACAAAATAATATTTGTCGAAAATCTATTTACGATGGGTCGTATAAATTCAGAATTCCAATAGCGCATTCCGCTCCCTTTAATGGAATTTCCGGCATTAATTAATACTTGAATTAATATGTACATTTTAACTCTGAAATTCATTTCACCGCCATTAAATAGGAAGAAACCCTGAATAGAATTGGAAATTCTCGTAATTATAAAATTAATTAAGGATCACATTTGAACATATACGCGTACATCAGTCTATTTGGTTTTGAACTCATTTTGTGTTCAGTGCTTTCTCCGTTACTATCTTCAATAACATTATTCATAGGATAATCGTTAGCCGACACAAAGGCTTCAAAGCTTACAAACAGCTTACCACCTCATTATTACGACGTATATTCCATTAACATTTATTAAATGCTTTTGAAAGTTTTATAAAGTAATTAAATGAAAATTATTTTTAAGCCTCTTGTCTTTATAAACAATGTTATAAAATTGTAAGCACTAAGAATGAAAGATAAATTACACTCGTGAACTCACTAAATTAAATTTAATAACTGTTCGTTTCATTATGTCAATCTAAGGAAGGGTACGAACCAAGTGACAGTTCACAAGTCGTGGATATAGGGGTCTCGTATGACAACTACATTGATGTTAATAAAAATCGATTTGAAGCATACAAACGTTCAGAGGTGAAAAGTGACAACCCTACTTACTCCTCTGGAAAAGATACCTTAGAACTTTATAATCTTGTTCATTGGTTGTATCAAAAGGTTGAAAGACCAAAAGCCAAAAGGATAAAGAAAGCAATATATTGTTCAACAAAAGTCAATTGTTAAAAAGCCTTGCCAATCAATACTGGCGAGACCGAAGTCGTATGATTTTTCAGCGACTTGTTGACTAAGTAAACTTTAGATTCAATTGCAAAATTCAATCGCGGCAAATTGAAGAATAGATTGCATTTTTCAATCGAATAAGATTGATTTACAGAAAATAATAACGCTCTTGAATTTTTACGTTAGACAGATTTTTTTCTAAATATTTTATGGGGGATCTCATAAATTTCTCTTGAAGTAAAATGGCATGTCATGTCTTAAAAA